CGGCCTCGGCACATCCTGGGGCACTGGTCGAGACAGAACACGAGTCGGGGGAGCTGTCTGGCGAGGCGGCATCCGAGAAAGTTTAGAGCCGAACTGGGCACGGAGGAGAATGGTAAGAGCAGCAAGCAGTCGGCCTCCTAGGACAATCGGGGTCGTGTCGACACGAGGGTTCGTCCGCTGAATTCAATTCACTTGGAATCCACCTAAAAGAGAAAGCTACATTACGAAAAAGGCTGTGCGCCACGGACCGACGGATGTGAATGAGGAGCCGAAGTTCGCGTGAGCGGGGCCGTGGGAAGGCCAAAACGATGCTCACATTGTCGCTCAGCACCAGAGCCCTACAGTGACACCCAGGGAGTGCAGAACAAAACGACGGACCCCCAGCCCCAAGGCTCGAGCCTCGAGCATGAGGGTGTCCTCGGCAAAACTCCACTTGCCCCTGACGCGATGGGGTCCAGAGGCTTTCGTCGAGGAGCCCCGCTGGGACCTCAGGAAAATCGGGCGCGACAGAAAACTCGGCGCTCTCGTCCCCCGGGGTTTCCCAGGCACCAGACCGAGGGTTCCGAACGAGGCTGGCCGCGCTGAGGGCCGACTCGCGAGCATTGTGGCCTTTGGGCTGAAACCTGCTCGTCTCCAGAACACGGCCGACGGAAGAAACTTGCGCCTGGCGCCGGAACGACGTGCAGACTCCATATCCCTGCTCACAGGCATCACTTTCAGTCGCCAGCTCACTCCAACAACGCCCCCAGTCCTGAATTAGAAAAACCATCAGTCCTTTCCAGGCTCGGATCTCATCGCGAATGGAGGGTCATAGCGGAGTGACCTCTAAGTAATGGGCACGGCAAAAGCGATAGCACGTGTGGAAGACTGACAAGAGGCCCCTCTGGATCAGACTCAGGAAGGTAGCATGATCCAGCCAACAATCAAGCGCCCAGCCTGCGCATTTACCCCGGCGGAGTATTTCCTCACTCGCAGCCCGCACCTTCCACAAAACGTTCGGGCGTGGTGGCGGCCCGCAGCCGCTGGCCGTCAAGCCGGCAGCCAAAGGCGCGGATGTCCCTGCTCACCACCTCTCCGCCGTGGAGCTCACGGGCGCCCGTGGTCCGCGAAGCTAGCCTCCCACTCGCGGACCGCGCTCTGGGCCAGGCCCCGGTCCCAGGCGAAGGCGCCCAGGTTGTCCACGTACGCGTCATGGCGGGGGCGGCCGTCGGCCAGCACCAGGGGGGCGACCTGTCGTGCAGCTGCGCCGGCCCGTGCAAGCTGGGCGTCGCAGCCGCCAGCCGCTCGTCAGCCTTCTGAGCGAAAAACACCGACCAAGCAGACCCCATGCACATGGGGGTGGAGGTGGGCCGCGCTGCGTCGGTGGGCCTGAGCTGTACTCCGTCCAGCTCGCGCAGCCCCAGCGCCCGCGCGGGCACCTCCGGCCAGGCGAAATAGGGCCTGAGCCAGGCAGGGGCCTTGAGGCGGTGGAAACAGCCCCTCGCGTCCGCCATGCCGGGTAAAGTCTGACGCCCTCCAGGCCCGCGAAGACGCCATCGACAATCTCGATGTTCGCGAAGGCCTCCGAAGCACGCCAGCGGACGCCTGGATGGGGCACGGAAGCAACAGTTGCTTCTCCGAGCATCGATGATCAGCCTGAGGCGTGTCTTGTTGCTCCTCCAGACGAAGAAAAACCCGATCCTCTCCAAGGGCCTGGGGGTGGCATCCAGCGCCCCAAGATCCCAGAGCCGTCTGACGAAGCCGTGGTAGGCCTTCTTATTGTAAAGCAGCTTCCTATCGGTGTAGGGTGTGATCTCTCGTGTCTCGGATTCGATACTCTCCAAGTCAGTCGCGAGTCGCAGCATCAGCTCATGATGGGCCTCCAAGTATCGAGAGACCTCGGCGTCCAGCAGCGACTCAATTTGAAGGGGGCCCGACGCGTCGCTCGGCAGCGACGCCAGGTCGGCGTCGAAGGTCGCGAGGTTCGCGATTGCTCGCCGAGGGAGGGGCGAGTCCCCTCGGCGGTGCTGCCGATCATTGCGGATCGGCGGCAGCGGGCGCGAATCCGCGCCGGCCTCGGCCGCCGCCCTCGCGCCCCCCGCCGCCGCGACTCCCGCGCGCCCCGCGACCTCCAGCGCCAGCCGCGGCGTCGCCTGCGTCGGCGGCCTCCGCCGCCGTAGCGGGGCCGCCGCGGAGCCCCCGCGCGCCGCCCTGGCCCAGAGCCGCAACCGTGCCAGCCCGATCGTCGGCCAGCCGCGCAGCATGCGACTGGAGGGCCGGGCTGACGGGGTCCTCGGGCGTCCCAGTGCCCATGCGCGGCTTGGCGTGCTCCAAAGTGACCTTCTGAGGGTTAGCGCGCACATCGGTGATGATCTGGATACAACGGCACAAGGTCCCGTCCGATGCGAGGGCTCCAACGTTCAATCGATCGTACACTCCTGCAGAATACAGAGCATCGTGCATCACCCTCATCTCATGGTAGGTACGATCCGAGCCATCTAACTTGCGTTCTCTCAACCACACGAGGAGCCACTGGCGGGGGTCGCAGCCGCGGCGGTCGAAGTGCGTTGCCAAGAACAGGGCGATGCCAGGGCTCTCCAGAGGCGTGTGCGAGAACGTCTCCTGAGTACTATCGCGGGTCACGTCCTGCCAGCCCTTGAATCTCTCTCTCCGGTTGTCGTAGTCCACCCCGAAGGCGCGAATGTCGGAGGCCGGATCTACATCCCTGGGAGCGGCCGCGCCGTCGGCCTCCAGGCCCAGCGCGTCCCGCAGCGAGCCATCCGAGGGCCGCTTGCCCCGCGCCCGGCGAGCTGACGCAGGCCAGTGCGGGAGCACCTCGCTGAATGGCACCATCTCGCCCGTTGGCAGGGGCACGTCGTCCGGCGCCGGAGGCGCCACCTCAGAACCAGGGTCGTAGATCGCCGCCGCCCGATACCTACGTTTGATCATGCCCCCGAACTCCTCACGGCCAGGGTACGCTCGAAACCGATAGAGCTTCTCGCCCAGCCAAGAGGGCTTCGAGCCAGCGTCTGGCAGCGGGTACGTCTTGGCGATGTCCTCGTCCACTCCTGCCAACACAGCCTCTGGGTCCTCATCCAGGTCGGGCGTGGCGATGAACCAGACGTCCTTCTTCCGAAAGCACGGGTGAGGCAGCCATCGCTCGTGGTCCATCGCATCACCGAGGTATTGAACGCCGACCGTCTGGCCCGGCTTCAGCTCACTCCACCACGCCACGCCGTCCTCGAACATCCACAGCGACATCGCGAGGAGGACGGCCGCCGACTGGCGCGCGCCTCGCCGCAGGCCGGCGCCCTCTCTCCGCAGCCCACGCCGCCGCCCGCCAGAGGCCTCCAGCGAGCACATGCGCGGCCACCTGCTCAGCCACGCCCGTCCCGCCAGCCGTCGACGCCGGGCAGCTTGGACAGACTGGGCAGGCTGGCGCCACAGGGCAGTCGGGGCAGCCCCAAGACTGCGGCACCTCGCAGGTGGGGAGCGGCGGCGGAGGAGCCGGGGCCGCCACAGGGGCCGGCGCCTCGAACTCGAGCAGCTCCAATCCCCAGAGGCCGCCCGCTGCAGCCGCCAGGAGCGCCGCCAGCGCCGAATGGGCCAACCGAGGCCCGGGGGTGCCGACTGGGCCGGGGAGCGCGAGAGGCATCCGCTTTCCGAAACAGCAGACTTGAGAGAGAGAGACGTTGCGGACGAACCTCGTTTTAAAGAACGTCGAGTTTCACGAAACCCCTGAATATAGTTATGTGCACGCACCCCTCAATTGAATTTCGTTTCGCCCCCCTCCCCCCCGAGGCGGTGCCACATGGCGAATCGAGTGAAATAGTATTTTTCACAGCCCCCGCGGCGCTGCCAAGTGACGAGTAGAGTTGCATCATATTTTGTCGCCCGCTAAGGCGTTGTCACATGGCGAGCGGAGTGGGAACGGACTTTTTTCGACCCCACGTCGCTGCCACGTGACGAGGCGCACATTGCGTTACAGTGGATTGCATTGCAGTGCATTGCATTTCGTTGCGTTGCACTGGATTGCATTGCGTTGCGCTGCGTTGCATTGCATTTTGTTGCGCTGCATTGCATTGCATCCTGTCGCATTGCATCCTGTTGAATTGTATTCAATTGCGTTGCATTGCGTTGAGTTGCATCCTGTTGCGTTGCATTGCATTGCACTGCGTTGCATGTGCCTTTGCAGTTGTAATACATTGCACTGCAGTAAACTGCGAGCGGGGGAAGGAGGAGGAGAAGGGGGACAGGGAGGGAGGAGAAGTGAGGAAGGTACAGAAAAGAGGGGGGAAGGAGGAGGAGGAGTGAGGAGGGAGGAATGGGGAGGAGGAGAGGGGAGGGGAGAAGCGGCCAACCATCCAGGCAAGCGGGCAACCGCCCACTCAACCACCATACCAACCAACCAACCGACCAACCTCCAGCCAACCAACCGGCTAACCAACGAGTCAACCGCCCAACCAACCGACCTGCCAGCCAACCAACCAATCAACCAACCCACTAACCAACAATCCACCCCATCGCCTCGGACAAAAAATTTGGCCCACCAGCCAGCCAACCAGCCAATCAGCCCACCAACCAACCAACCACCCAAGCAATCAACAACCAATCCACCAACTAACCGACTACTTAACCAACCAATCGCCGCCCAACCAACCAACCAACCAACCGACCAACCCTGGAACAACAATTCTTGACCCAGAATCTGGTGAGCCAACCAGCTAACCAACCTCTGAACCGGCCAGTCCTTCCCAACAAGTTTTTGCAGGGATGTCCCACGCCGCGTGGCCGTGAAACAATGTTCATGACCTGGAACACATTTCCTTGACCCTGAACAATTTATCAATTCTGAAAAACAAATAACAGTCTCCCCCCCCGGACTCTCACGTTGGATCCTGGTTGCGGACCCGTCCGGTAGTTTCCCGAGTGGCCCTTCGAACTACGAACAATCCAACACCGAATCTCCAACATGACATCGTGATTTACGGGGCCAAACAACGAGACTGACGACCAGGTGCCTGCGCGCAGAGTTCCACATCTGCCGCGCCAGCGGCCCCGCTCTCGTCGGCTTCGCGTGGCCTGGCGGCCGCATGTCGCTGGAGAGGACAAAGAGTGCGTATCTCATCGATGGGCAACAGGATGCGCGTGATATCACATGGATGCAATCTGCGACAGCCGTGGTGCTGTCGCTCAGATATTTCCTTCCCGGCTGAGACCGTGGAACACACGCCTTTCAACACGCGGCAGTGGTGCGACCTAGCAAGACACGGCTCATCTCTCCCCCCCCCCCCTGTCTGGCCAGCCGTGCCGCGGATCGAAGCGTCCGCCCCGCCGTGCGGCTCGACCACTTCTGGCCACACGGACTACAAGAAATTCTTTTGATCGGCGTGATCGGTCATATAACGAAGCCGAGCTGACAATGTGATCAGCAGCCAGCATGCTACCGTAGTATGTGCCCCTGTGATTCAAATGGGCAAGATACTTACTTCCTCAATGCTCAGTGTTCCCGAGAAGGCTTAATTCTCAAAGGTGTGCGTTTCGCTCTCTTTCCATGTCTCTCAGACATGTCTCCAAGCTGCAGCATTGTGCCACACACGTGTCATGGCGAAAGGCTTACTGACATACGCAGGCTGGAACACACAAGTTCGGATACTCCTGCTGGTATGGCGCCCGCGAGATTCCGCCCAGCATGCCTCCAGCCCTCCGCCAAGGAGTACCCCTCGCAAGTCTGCCAAGCTACTTGCTCATCGTATCCATATAGAGATCGTGCCTCCTGGCCACACGCTTGCGGTGAAACTGGCGACACCCTGCAGACGAGGGTGCATGGCAGTCGGAATCGCCTGTGGACGCCACCTCGTGATCTCGTGGCGAGGCAAGGGGGCCTCTCCTCGGACGGCAGCAGGAGTCTCGTCAGAATCGCGCTCAGTGCACCCACGGCGGGGGGCATGGTCGCTCGAGAGGGCTTTCCCCCCCCTCTCCATTACTTCACCTCGTCCCCAGTGTGCTTCACTCCACCTGGGGCACCTCCCATCAGGGTTGGGCCAGACCACGAGGAGTCGAGACGGAAGCTCAGCCAGCAGTCGACAAGAGAAAATACCGCTGGGCACTCAGCTACCTGTCTGCAAGCGGCTCTGGGAGCTGGTCGCCCAACGACCTTCCCTGACTCTTCGGAAGGCTGGTCAACTCGGGGTGCCCCAAAAAAGAGCATGCCAGGAAGGAGGCTGTGGTCACCCCAGCGTGCTACTGCGGGCCTCCACGAAAGGAATGCGGGGAGCGAACCAAATGCTACCGGCCCAGGGTGCTGATCGCGACTTCTGGAATTGGACTTAGGTCGGGCATGCGGATTTTGGGCGAAAACTTAAAAAGCACCCCAAAACAGATGCAAAAACAATCCAAAAGTCGTCCCCAGACTATTTGTTTTCTGACTATTTTTGAACATCCCCCCTTGTAGAGGGACGGGCCCGACTCACAATTGGACTCAGGGCTCGCTCGCGACGAAGGCGCGCTCCACGAGCTGCGCCGCCGCGGGGGCGGAGCTCCTGCGCTGATCCCCGAGGCCCCCGTGCGCTCTCGCCGCTGCCCGGGCCCGGGCGCCTGCGCGCGGGGAGAGCGGGAGAGCGCTCGGGGACGCCTGGCCCGCCTGGGGTTCTGTGGCTCCCATGGTACTTCAGGACCACATCCCGGAAATGACCCCCCTCCTGCCCCAAGAGGCCCCCCAAAGCCCCCCAAGAGGCCCTGGGGGCCCCCAGGACGCCGCCAAGGAGCCCCAAGAGACTCCCAAGAGGTCCCCCAAAAGGCCCCCAAGAGGCCCTAAAGAGGGCTCCAGGGCCGGCGGAACGAGCGAAGTGATTAAATGATTTCGAGCACCCGGAAAAGTGTCGAAAGAGTGTCGAAGCAGCGTCGGACGAGTGTCTCCCAGGGCCCCACGCGTGAAAACCCTCAACAATTCGGTACTTTTCTGGCTCTCGAAATTCTTTCGTGCTTTTTGAATTCAAAAAACTGGTTCCTGAATTAAAGAACGGGTTTTTGAATTCAGAAAAACCTGCGCTCTCGCCGGTGCCCTGGCCTGGAAGGCTGCGCGCGGGGAGAACGGGACAGCGCGCTGGGCCGCCTGGCTCGTCTGGGGCAATTTTTTTTTTTTTTTTTTTTTTTTTTTTTTTTTTTTTGTTTGAATTCTAAAAACTTATTTTTGGATTCCAGAAGCTGGTTTTTGAATTCAAGTTTGGACGCCCGAAAAGGGACCTTGAAAAAATGGGTACAATGCCGAACAACAAATGTTGTCCAAAACCAATAACGGCCGCCGTTGGGCAGGCGGCCACCTGTCTCGAATGGAGACAGGCCGCGGCGGCGTGGACAGCGAGTCCTGTCCAATTTGAACAGGAGCTGCTTTTGGGCATTGTGCCCATTCTTTCCGTGCCCATTTCGTTCGTGCCGATCAGAAACCTGCGCTCTCGCCGGTGCCCCCGCCCGGGAGGCTGCGCGCGGGGAGGACAGGAGAGTGCGCTGGGACGCCTGGCCCGTCTGGGGCAACCTTTGACGGCGCGCACAAGTGGGTGGAGGGAGGGAGAGGGCTTCTTAGAAGGAGGCCGCTTCTTAGAAGGCGGCGGCCTTGCACCTGCAGATAAGGCCCGCGCCTTCAAAGAAGCAGGTGTGCTTCTAAGAAGCCCTCCCCCCTTCCCCCACCCCCCTCTGCGCGTGGCTGAGACTGGCTCGTCGGGGGCAATCTTGCAGCTGTGCGAAACCTGCCGTCGAGAGGCAGCCAAGGAGTCTGCGCCTCTGAGGGCGTCGGCCGAAGCTGAATATTTCTGGCCCTCGAAACCAGGTTGGCCGGCCGTAACGGGCGTGACACAAATCGGTCCTCCAGACCCAAGCACGCAAACGTGGCCGGTGCGAACAGTCTGATGTTTTTGACGGATTTTGGCGGTGCCAACAGAGTCCTGTCAGCGAGGACCCTGCACTTTGATCCCCATCAGGCCTTCGCCTCCCTCGACCTGGCCGTCCGTCTCGGGGAGGCCAACCAGCAAGTCTGTGCCGAGGTCTTCGCCCATGTGGCCCTGGGCTGCTCTTCATCCTTCTCCGCCTCATACTCCTGATCCCCCTTCTCCCGTGTATTTTCTGGTTTGCGTGTGCCGCCTGCCAAACTAAGCCACGCCCGGGGCTAAACCATGCAACATCCCAGGATGTCCTGAGCGAAACGCCCCAAACCTGGCTCCATCCACTCGCCTGAATAAATAAAGTTCACAGAAAGGGAGTTGATGATCCAAGAGGGGGTCCCGCCGCAAGGGTCCCTTGATCAGAGCTTTAAGGCAAGGTGGGTGGGTGGGTGGTTAGGGCGCAACAGTATGCATGTGGTTGGGGCGCAACAGCACGTACTTGCTTCTCTGCTTCTCGGCAGTTGTTCGAGCTCCAGCGTGGCTTTCGGAGAAACATTCCAGAGCTTCCCTGAGATCCGACGTTGCAAAAAAAACGCAACATCGACAACAAAATCACGCCCGGACCTTAGGACACCATCTTTCTGCGTTATTTTCCGAATCGTATCGATCTGTGAGGGTCCCGGGGCCCGAAATTGAGCGAAAACGCCCGGCTCGAAAAAATTTAGTCGCCAGGATCTCAAGGTTGTACGTCCCTCAGAAATGAACCCATCGGGCGTGAGCTAAACTTGCCCGGCCCTGGCCCTGGCCCTGGCCCGGGCACTGGCCCCCGTGTCCCTCCTCCTCCTCCTTCGCCTCTTCCTTCTCCTCCTCCTCCTCCTCCTCCTCTTTCTCCATTCCTTCTCCTTCGTGAATTTCTCCCTGTCGCACCCAGAGCTTAGTTTTTAGGGCGGGCTGGGAGTTTCGCCTGAGAATTCCTCACCATTTATGACCCTGAAGCTTAAACGTTGGCAGCAGTTTCACAGGTGGAGGGCAGGTCGTTTTCAACAGGTGGTTCTCGCCTTAAATTCCTCTTCCTATATTTTTACAAGCCCGGGGGGGACGGAGGGACCCCCCCCTACCAAACTGGACCCCCGGGATCTGGGGTTCTCGGGCTTCCTTGGACGTCCTTGGAAAAGGTCACCCGGCTTTCCGGGTCTCCACAAACGCCTTGCCAGAAAGGCTCAAGGGAGGCCCCAGACAACACAAGAGCGCTCCGAGAGGGACTCCAATTGTGTCAGGACGGCCCAAAAGACCCCCAAGGCACCCGAAAAAGCTTCCCAAGGGGCCTTCAAACCACACAAATCGTCCCATTTCCTTTGTAAAACTTACAATTTTAGCATATTCGCCTTTCGGATCTCATCAGCTTTCAAGACGGTTTCAAAGCCTCCGAGATCGCCTCCAGACGCCCCAAAAGGCCCCCAAGAAAGCTTCAAGACGGCCGAGCCGGGGCCCACGATCGCCCACGAGAGCCCCAAGACACCCCATAATGGAACCAAGAGGCCCCCCAAGGGCTCCCAGCACAGACCCAAAAGGGCCATGGGAGGTCCCCGGAAGTGCCCAAGACGGGTCCAAAGGGGGCTCCAGCGGGCCCAAGCTCCCCAAGACGGCCCAAGAAGGCCCCAGGACGGCTCATGAAGGCGCCAAAACGGCCCACGAGGGCCCTGAAAACACCCCCACGATGTTTCCGAATGCCAACATGAAGACCCCCAAGGCACCCCAAAGAGCTTTCCAAAGGGCCTTCAAACCACAAAAATCGTCCCATTCCCTTCGTAAAACTTGCGATTTTAGCATATTCGCCTTGCGGATTTCATCAGCTTTCAAAACGGTTTCAAAGCCCCCGAGATCGCTTCAAGACGCTCCGAAAGGCCCCCTTAGAAAGCTTCAAGACGGCCGAACCGGGCCCCACGATCGCCCACGAGAGCCCCAAGACAGCCCATAATGGAACCAAGAGGCCCCCCAAGGGCTCCCAGCACAGACCCAAAAGGGCCATGGGAGGTCCCTGGAAGTGCCCAAGATGGGTCCAAAGGGGGCTCCAGCGGGCCCAAGCTCCCCAAGACGACCCAAGAAAGCCCCAGGACGGCCCATGAAGGCGCCAAAACGGCCCACGAGGGCCCCGAAAACACTTCTACGATGTTTCCGAATGCCAGCATTCATTGATTTTGCCCCCATGACATTTCACATTGTGACCCAGTCGTTGAGGGTCTGGTGGCATGCAGCGAAGATGCCCGAGGATGCCCCGTACGAGTTGCATATGCATGTTCATACCCATACACACATATAAGTTTATATGTACATATGAGCGCTGTATGCACACATACAACAATGTAAGTCTATTGTGTGCACCTAGACATTTACACGGAACGCGCATGCACGTGCGCGTGTATACATGCATGCGCGCATGTACGCACGCACGCATTCCGCTTGCGTGCAGAACTCAAAGGACCAAGGTGCATGGCGCGCAGCGCCAATGCAGTCTTGTATATATTTATACATATATGTTTGTATATCTATCTATATATATATATATATATATAGAATCTAAACTTCACGGGTTGAGGGTGGGTGGATTTCAACATGTTGCTCTCGCCGCAGCGCCGCACACACTCGTCTCAAACATCAGCAGAAGTTTCACGGATTGAGGGCGGCTCGTTTTCAAAATGTGGCTCTCGCTTCAGCGCCGCGCACATTCGTTTTAAACATCTACAAGAGTGTCACAGATTGAGGGCGGTTCTTTTTCAAAATGTGGCTCTCGCCTTAGCACCGCGTGCACTCGTATTAAACAGTTGCAAGAGTTTCCCGGATTCCCAGGATCAGCGTACCAGAAATCGTGTTTAGGACAGATTCAGGGTTATGAAGGTGCCACAGTTACGTTTATTCGCGGTGTTGAACTGACAGGAGTGGCCTTCTGGCATGATTCAAAATCATCAAGATGCAACAGCCAGGTTGATCCGTGGCGTTCGAGTCCCGAGAATAATGTTTGGCATGGATCAGGGTCTTCAAACGGTTGTCTTCCAACGAGGCAGATCCCTCAGTGGACATGAACCATTGTAGTGGCCTGTGAAGCGAGCTGGGAGGGAGGGTTTATGACAACATCGTTGATGACTCTTGGGTTTACACTGGTCCTCCTCCTCCTCCTCGTCCTCCTCGTCCTCCTCTTCCTCCCCTTCCGCCCGCCCCATGTCCCGAGCCTGTGGCAAGGTCATCAGTTCGTCGTTGCGGTTGTCGTCGTGTTCGTCGTCGTCGTCGTCCTTCTGGGTCGGCGGCACTGGCCGTAAGGGCCTCACAATAAACCCAGCGGGCCTAAACTACGCTTGGCAACGACTACCCCTGCTCAGTTGTCAGCTACGATGCGCTTTGCATAGGCAGCTCCCGAATTGGCTCAAGCAAGTGGAGGAAACAATGCAGCTAAGTCAAGCTGAAAAAACCCACGCAACGCGCATATGGTGTTTACGCAGCAGGGCCGCGCGCGTTCGCCTGTAAATGTTGCCGTAGTCTCAAGGATGGAGGGCGGCCCGTTCTCAGAATGCGGCTCTCGCCTTCGCGTCGCGCATTTTCGCCTTTAAGGCTTACAACAATTTCGAAGACGAAGGCCGGTTCCTTTTGAACATATTGCTGCCACTCTAGTGTCGCGCGCACTCGTCTTAAACATTTGCGGGGAATTGGGGTCGCACGGTTGAAATCCCAGGAATATTGTTCTGGCACGGTTTAGGTTTGTCGGGGCGCAACAGTCACGTGGGTTCACGGCGTTGAAGTCCCAGGACTGCTGTTCTGGCACGATTTAGGATTGCCAGGACGCAGCAGCCATTTTAATTCATGGCGTTGAAGTCCCAGGAGCGGTGGATTCTTAGACTGTTGTCTTCCAATGGGGCGCTTCTGCAATGAAGCCGAGCTTTTGTCAGGACCTATGAGGAGGGAGCTTGGAGGGAAGGTTTAGTGCAGCATCGTTGATTCATATTTGGTTTGCACAGGTTCTCCTTCTCCTCTTCCTCCTCCTCTCGCTCCTCCTCGTCCTCCTGGAGGGCAGCGGCACCCGCCGTCGCGGCGCTGCCGCCAGCTTGCAGACGACGAGCGGTAAGGGACGCTGGGTTGGGCGCAGGCTGGCGCGCCAGAGCTGGGGCCAGTCGTCGCCAGCCATGATGCCACTCTTCTCATCAACTGCAGTGCTGGAGCCAGCTCGTGCGAGACGGGGCGGACGCTTCGGCTGCGTGCTGTCGCGCCCACGGACGGCCGGGGTGGCAGCGTGCGGCCCGCGACGGGCTGCAGGCCTCGCTCTCCGGTCATCGTTGGCTTGGCGTGCGAGGCTCCTGCGGTGCTCCTCCGCCCTCGCCCTCCGATCCTCGGTCGCTGGGCTTTTTGTGCCCCTCTGCTTGCCTGGAGCTGCTGATGCCTGGGCGCCACACGTGCGATCGAGTCGCTGCTCTTTCAGCTTCGCCCACAGATGTGGGCCCCACCGGCCCGCAGCCGACTATAAGAAGTTGCACGCCCCTGGTGACGACCTCAGTCTGGGAGCTTTTTTTCGCGGACTCGCAGCATCCTGTATCCTTCCCTCTGCAATCAGCGGCGCAGAGGGTCCTCAAGCGCGGGCAGCAGGTGGAAGTGCCAATTGCGATCGAGCGTTGTCGAACGCAAAGGGTACGAGACGTCGCACACTGTAACGCACTAGATCCTCCCCCTCCCCCTCACGCGGCGGCAGAGCCCGGTGCTCCTGTGCCGCCTGCGCCGCGTCCATGGCCGCCACGGCCCTGCGGGCGCCCTGGCTGGGGCCGGCGGCCAGTCGTCGTCGTCGTCGTCGTCGTCGTCGCCGTCGCCGCCGCCGCCGTCGTCGTCGTCGTCGTCGTCGTCGTCGTCGTCGTCGTCGTCGTCGTCGTCGTCGTCGTCGTCGTCGTCGTCGTCGTCGTCGTCGTCCTCGTCCTCCTCAACCTCGCTCCTCCCCGTCCTCCTCGCTCCCTCCACTTGGGGCGGTTGAAAGCGCAGTGGTAGTAGATATTTGGCTGCCTCCTCATCTTCCCCCTCTCCACCTCGCACCCCTGCTCTTGCTCGTCCTCCTCTTCCTTCTCGTCCTCTTCCCGCTCTCTCCCCCTCTTCCCCCTTCTCCGCACACTTCCTTCTCATCCTAGTCCTGCTCCTGCCTGGGGCCTCAGACCACAATGATAAGCCCACCAACTCTTTTGGCGTAGGCTGTTTATGGAAATTGCTCTTCCAGCCTCCATTCTTCCCTCTTTTTGGGATGTGTGTTATCTCTGATCATTTCATCCCCCACTCGATCAGCCGCTGGCCTGAAGCTATGCCGACCCTACCCATCATCCCTGTCAAAAGCTGTACGGAATACACTTTTCGGATGGGGAGGGGGACGGAAGCGGAAATCTAATGCAGGCAACACTACAGAACAAAGTGCAGCCGTGCACAGGCGCGTGCGCAGACTGGCCTGCTTCTGGTGGTGGCCGATGCAAAGGGCTTGAATTCTGCTGAACTGCACGCGCCCGTCGTGACCCCCAGTGGGACCACAAGCCAATGGGCAACAGCAGCCTGCGGGGCGGAGTGCCCGATAAGTGAGCACTGCGAGTGACTGGCGGCACAGGCAGCCCGAAAAGGCATCCAAGAGGACCTCAAGAAGGGCACTGGAGGTGCCCAAGGATGGGCCCACGATGCCTCGAGACGGCCAGAGAGGCCCCAACGGGGCCCCCCTGAGGAACCCCCAAAGGCCCCCAAGAGACCCTCCACAGAGGACCCTAGCTGGACAATTGGGGCACCCAACCCTCCCCAACCCGCCCAAGGGCCCGCATCCCAGTTGACCACAACTGACAGCTGCGGCTTGCGAAGAGCAGAGGACGGGATGGCCTCCCAGGAGAGGGGGGAAATCGAGGTTTGTTGCTCACGCGTGATGGCTAGAAGGCGATGGTAGCGGCAGCGGAAAAGGAGCATAGGAAGGGTCTTTGGCCATGAGCTCGCGGGTCATACACCCTGCGAAATGCTTTAGAAATCATGGGTTAAGAAATTCATAGTCTCAGAATTTGAATAAAAACCCAGCATGTCTTTTCAAATCTTAGGATCTACATTGAAACATTAAGAATAATCGAGACTCTGGCCGAGAACTTGGGTTTTCTTAAGCATCGCCTAGAGTGTATGTCTGGGTCTGTGCCCTGCACGGCCCAACCCAAAGGATGCAGGAAGACAAGGACCAGAGGCACAGCGGGACCCAACCCATCCCATCCCAGCCAAGCAAAGGACTTGGAGAGAAGCAGGGCTGAAGCGCAAAGGACTTGGAGAGAAGCAGGGTTGAAGCGAAATGGGGTGAACCCCAACCTACCCTAACTCAGGCAAGTCCAAGCTCATTCGAGCCCAGCAAGGACTTGCAAGTATGGGGGGAGGGAGGAGCGGGGAGAAAGAGGGAAGAGCCGCGAGACGTTTGGAGGAGAGAGACGAGAATAGAAGACCCTCCACCCGATACCCCGCCCCCTCCCGGTCGAGTCGTCCGCGACCTCCTCTCGTCTCTATCCTCGTTCGCCTCCCCCCTCCCTCCCTCGCCCTTGGAGGCGGCAGGGGATCTGAACTGGTTGGGACCCGACGGTCAGGAGGGGGAGATGAAGCCAAAGTAGCCTAAAATCGGTCTCCAGACCCCTCCCGGGGTCAATCTGGTGCACTTTTGCCTTCCGGATCCGCCGTTGGCGGTCCCCGGGCCCGAGAGCGGCCCCCAGAGGCCGAAAAAGGCAAAAGCACGTTTCGAGCCCAGAGCCTTGAACCTACCCCCCCCTCCTGCGAGACGGAACCAGTGCTGCGCCGCCTCAGGCCGCAGGCCCCCCCCCCCCCTCCTCGCCTCTGCTTCCCGCCTGGCCATTCGTGGAACCCCCTCTCGCCCTCCCCTCGCCCCCCTGCCTCCACGCGGCCACCCCGCCCCTCCCCGACGCCGGGGGGCGACGCGTGTGGGCAGCGTGCGAGGTGTGGCTGTCCACAGGGCGGGTTCCGGAAACCCTGAACCCGAGAGCCTTGCCATCTCTTGGTCGGCCGACTTTTACTTCTGTCGCCTTCCGCCAACCTTCCGCCAACCCTCCTGTTTTTTCAGCGCGACTCGGAAGTTTAGCGGGGACACCAGCACTACCGCGAAAACGACGCGGCGCGTTTCAAAATCGGAAACGAGGCCCTGAAACGGACAGCGGGCGCGGAGCGGCAGGCCCGACTGGCCTCAGCCCCGCTCCCGCGCACCCCCCACGCCTGTGGGGGTGGCAGCTGCGGGGGCGGCTCCCCCCCCTCTGGTGAGGGGGAAGGCGCAAGAGGTCCCCCGCGTCTTTAGCGTGGCCCCCTTCGAAAGTATTTCTCGAGCTGCGTTTGCGAGGTCGGTCCAACCCTCCGCCGGCTGCCGCCCCCGGAGGCAACCTTGTTTCACTTCCGCCGGCTTCCGTCGCCTGCCGCCGGGGAAGAGGCGGCAGCTCCTCCGATCCCGGACGGCGAGAGGCCCCCTCTGGAGCGCCCCCCACGTGGGCGCGGGAGGGGGCCCGATGCCTGCGCTGGCGCTCGAGCGCGGAGGAAGAAAAGAGCACCCTGAGCATAAACTTTCGGAGGTTCTCGCGCGGATGGCTTCCCCCGGACGCCCAAGGAGGGGGAGGAGGAGGAGGGAGGAGGAGGGAGGAGGAGGAGGAGGAGGAGGAGGAAGAGAAGAAGGAGGAGGGGCAAGAGGTCATCACCCCCCTCGTGGCCGCCCCCCGACCCGGCCCGGGCCGGCCCGAGGCGGCGGCGCCCAGTGCGCTCTCGCGGTCAGCACCCGCCGCGGGCGGTGCGGCGGAGGTGTGCGCGCACAGCTGGCTGGGGCGTCCCAAGGAGGGGGCCCCACCGGCGCCGATCCAAGAAATCCGCGTGGACCTCCGAGAACTCATGTTTAAGGCTGCCCGGGAGGCCAACGGGCCGTCCCAGAAGTGGTGCGCGCGCCCCCGTCCCCCCTCGCGAGTGCCAGCGTCCTGCCACCAACCCCCCGCAGCTCTGCCCCTGCCCTACCCTTACCCCTCCCCTCCCCTCCTCTCCTCTTTACTCATCTCCTCTCCTCTCCTCTCCCATCCCCTCCCCTCCCCTCCCCTCCCCTCCCCTCTCCTCTCCTCTCCTCCCCTCCCCTTCGTCCCCTCCCCTGCCCTCTCTTCTCTTCTCCTCTCCTCTCCTCTCCTC